CTGTATGAACAGAAAAGGCACTTGACGATAAATGCGTGTGCAGAAGTCAACATTTTTTTGTGACTGACAGAGCTGTCATAGAAAAATAAGTTGTCTCTGGACTATGTAAAACTTTCTTTCACATGTAAATAAAGTTCAGCCTAGCAGCTCTGCCATCTGTGAGAGTTCTTGGAAAATGACTCATTCAGTAGGTGAGGATGTGAAACCATATTTGAATGTAAGACTATGTGAGCTACAGAGCCTCAGGGATGCTGGGGGCAGCCGGGCTCCTGCACCTCCTCCTGGGGCTGGGGAGGAACGATTCCTCCCTCCTCCCCGGCTCCTTGGCTTCTCTAACACTCAGACGAACACAGGACAGATTAGCAGGAGAAAAGCAGACTCACTTACGTGCGTGAGGCGGCCCCGTAAGGCCACAGACGCGAGGACAGGTGGGCGGCTGTGGTTTGTGTCCTCTGAGCCTGGCAGTAGGACAGGGGCTGCGGACTCGAGGTGGAGCAGGGTGACCCCAGGACAGAAGAAGGGCAGATGTTTGCTGATGAGATACTGTCCTGCCTGCAGATGGGTCACTTGGACCAAAAGTCGCCCCTTGGCCCTACCTCCCCTCCCGTCCTGCCGGGCCGCCATCTAAATTCCTCTGGGCAGTTAAAGGAGACATAAAAGTGTCTCTGGAGTCCTCTCGGCCTTACTGCCCTCAGCTCCAGTCCACATGCCGAAGTGACACCTTCTTGGGGGACCTGTTCTGACCCCGTAAGGTGTTTAGAATGAATGTGTGGTCATCGAAGCGATAACGAATACTCAGAGCTGGTGGGTGAGGGCTCCCTTTGAAACTGGTCCTGTTTAGTATGTAGAACTAAGTGCCCACGGGCCTGGGGGAACCATTTGCTGAATGCCATTTTGCGCATTAAAACATTAAAACAATCCGCGGCCCAGAGAGTATAGAGAGTGCAGAGCCCGTGTGCACCAGCTACCGTGCTGCTGACGCCCAGCCTTCACACCTGACTTCTGGGCCTCAGGCCACTTTACTGCTGAGAAAAAACCCTGTGCTGATTTTCGTGTTTCTATAGTGGTTAAGGCCTAAACAATTACGCCGTCTCCTGTGTAGACTCAGGACTTTCTTCTTAACTTGGGTGTTCCGGGTAATATACTCAAGCATTTTACACCCAGAAAATTGACGTCTTGAAGGTTTCATGTGATAAGGTTTTTAAGACAAACAAGAGACTGTTTTTTAGAATTCTCTTTTCATGATAACTTTTTAAAATGTGCAGTTTTCCTAGGAAAGTAATAAAGTTCTCCAAACCTGTCCTCATTTTAGGGAGATAGCTTTACCTGAATGCCTTAACTCTCCCCCCAAAAATTGAGGGACAGTGTTTCTAAGAAATGTCTTTCTGATTATTAAGTGAGGAATCAGTTGTCTTTCTGATAAAAAGGGAAATCTATTACTTAAAACCAATAAACAAACCTGTCTGCTTTTTCCATACCCAAAAAGTGAACATGGAGAAATGAATGGAATGAAAATCTTCTCCCGCTTACCTAATATGAATGTGAAATTGAATATTTTTGATATTTAAAACTATGTGGTAAAAATCTTAACTTTGTTAAAGGTAAACTTAATCTAAAGCTAGGGTAATCTAAAGCAATGATCAGCTAGAGTAATTTCAGTTTATATTGAGAATATGTGAATAGTTTGGTAACAATTAAAATTTCCTAATTAAATTTTGTTTGGACTGGAGTTAAACTCTGCACATATTATTGGAAAATCCAAGTACCGAGATTCTTACTGGTGTAAATATAGAAACTTTTTAGGGAGGCAGCCCCATAAATAGCAAAGCGTGGGGATGCTCAGTCATTCTGTGCCGTTCAGAGCCTGGCGCAGCCCGGCGCTGTCACTGTCACTCAAGCAAGTGTCTCACTCCTGTTTCTCACTTTGTAGAATGAGGATACTGAAAGTGCCCATCATAATAGGGCTGAGATAATTCGTACACTGGACTTACCAGTACTTAACAAGAATTTAGCCGTTACTGTCTAGGCCTGGTCTTACAGCACACTGCCTTAGTCGTTCGGAGGCTTTACAGCAAAGGCGCACAGGCAAGATGGCTTATAAATAACAGACACTTGTTTTTCACAGTCCCAAGGGCTAGAAGTCTGAGGTCAGAGTGCCAGCATGGCCGGGTTCTGGAGAGAGCCCCCTTCCACTGCAGACTGCTGACTTCTTCTGCACAGAGGGTGAGTGGGCTCTCTGGTCTCTTCTGGGCACGATTCCTATTGCCAGTGGCTCCACGGGGGACCCAGTCACCCCTCAAAGGCCCCCCTCCAAATGCCATGATGTAGGGATTAGATCTCAGCATATGAATTTTGGGGGGATACATTCAGTTCATAACACATACTAACCTCTCATATCTCCTGTTTTTTTTTTAAGCCTAAACATCTATGCTAGCAACTCATTTAGTTATCATTTACTCTATTCTTTTAAAAAATTATACTTGATAGAGAAGAATATATGCTTAGTTGAGGTTAGGCAGAAAAGATGGTTATGTAACCCATTTCTCTTTCTCTATTATCTCTATCTATCTATCTATCTATCTATCTATCTATCTATCTATCTATCTATCTATCTATCTATCTATCTGTCTATCTACCTACCTATCTATCATCTATCTCTGTCTGTCTATTATCTATCTATCTATCTATCTATCTATCTATCTATCTATCTATCTATCTATCTATCTATCTATCTATCATCTATCATCTATCATCTATCTATCTATCCACTCCTCTACCATCTGTCTGTCATTTCTCTTTCTATGAAGCCCTTAGTATTCTTCTTTGAAACAGTGGAGAGATCTTACTGGTTTCCTCATTGATTAAAGAGTGAAATGAATTCCTTGACATCTGTTCATTTTATATCTATATGAAAGTCGATTAAATTCTCCTTTAAAACTGATATTTTAACAACTGCAACTAAGAACACATTTTCTAAACTGATTAAAAGGAGAATAAATTTTAAAAGAAACTCATACTCACTAAAGAGCCATTGGGTCCATGTTATTCTGTCAAGTGTCAAAAAATATGTTATGCTGCATTCTTGAGTTGCTACAACCTAAATGAAGAGGTCACCCCTGTTACCCAGAAAGATACAACTTTGTTGTTTATGTGATTTTAAATTCAGTGGTCAATGCAAATCATGTCACACTGAAGTCTGAGATTTTAAGTGAATTCAAAAGTTACATTTCCAACTTCTTAATCTAAACACAGAGCCATGAGTAGCCATGTGGAATGCATACACCACATGTCTAGTCGGTGGCTCGGTAATTCATACAGATTTCTGATTTCACATCACAGACGATGCTCAAAAGCTGCACCACCACGCTTTCCACGTGGTTGCTGTAGTGCCCCTCCAGCTCCTTCATCCTTGCCAGCGTTTGCTCTTCTATTTCTTCTGAGATATTACTCTGAGACCCCATTATCTACCACAACACAACAGATAGAGTCATTACACTGTACTTCATAATAAAATTTAATTGTTTTTTAGGTTAAATTTATTTTAACCTATGTACGTGTATTATTTTTCCAGGATTTTCTCAGAGGGTGGATAAGATCCCCAATACCATGAGTGGTATAAACTCTCCTAAAAAAATGGAGAGTGGCCTCGGCTTCCCCTCCCGCCTCCAGGTGGACCTCAACACAGAACAAAGTGAGCACATGTTCACAGTCACGATACCATGCACATGTTTTTTCATCACATCTGACATATATTTGTAGTAGTTTCCACTCCGTTCCTGTCCCTTTCCCTATTGCGTACTTTCTGAATTAAAAGTTTGGAAAGCAAAGGTGAGAAACATCATTAAATCCATTCTTGCTGGTTTTTAAAGAGCAAGTAACTAGGTTGTCAATTTTCTAAATACAGTACCCAAATTGAGCAAATCTTGTTTTTCAGGAAGATACAGCCACAGTATACCTAACATGATACTTTTACAGGCATGTGTTTATCTTTTTGGGTGATAAATATAATTTTGAAAATTTTAGTATAAACTGGATTTCTTTCAAATCAAGACATACTGGCCCGTTTTGTTACATTCTAATTTTGAACAGTTTGCGATACCTTTCTGATCGCCCTTTCATTGACGGTGACTCCCAGCATTTCCCAGTGAATCCTCTATCCTTTTAGCTTCTCTAGCAGGTAATGATGTGACCGAAATATAAGTGCACCAGGAGAGTTACCGATTTAAAGGGATTCTGCAGTGAAACCCTTTGAAAAGTTATCTTTTGAGAAAACAAACACTCAACTCCTAATTTATCTCCTTTTTGTAAACTCAAAACAGGGCATCATGAAGGCAACACGGCTGGATTTTGTTTCTTTTTTTTCTTCTGTGAGTGTTTAGGGAGGGTTTGCATTTCATGTGATCCACAGACCCCACTAATGGTCGGCTCTACTTCAGGGCTACTAGACTATTCTACGCGCCAGAGTCTGCATAATCTTTCTTGGTTCTAACCTTGCAATCAAATTGAGGCACTCAGGTTCAAGTTGTTTTCTGTTTCTAGTCCAGCAACAGGGGCTTCCCAGTTCAAAGAAAATCATTTGGAGAAAATATAGCTTCTAAGACAGCAAATAAGTTTTATCAAACAACATTCTGGTGAGTATACAAGAAGCAAAGACATGTGGACCAAATTTCCCTTGTTCAGAAGTTTAAAAATAGAAGAAAATTACTTACCAACATTTCTCTACCAAAACCAATTTTTCTTCTCTAAATCCAAAGTGAAATTCTATCAAGCTCAAAGAATATATGTATTTTCCCTAAATTCAGAGTATTTAGTAGTGAGGTTTTAAAAAAACAAACTGATATGAAACGATCATCTATTTTCCTTTGGAGTAGTGTTAAAAGTTTTTATTATTGGGCTAGATTACTGCAACTATCCTGTACGACATTGGAAACCTTTGTTTCAGATGTGGGTTCTTTATTTTTAAAAGGGGGATAACATCACCCATTCAATGGGAGTGTTGTAAAAAGTCAACCACATTCATGAGTCCAAAGCGTACAGAGGGGTAGAAATGTAACAGGAATCACAAAATGGGCTCTAGAAGTAATTGAACATTTTCTAGAGTCACATTAAAAAAGTAAAAATAAATAGGTTAAATTAATTTAAATAATACAGTTTATTTAACCCAACACATCCATAGTGTTACTGTTTTAAAGTGCAGTCAACATAAAGATTACCTCATTATTGATTTTCAGACTAAGTTTTTGTGATCTGGAATGCATTTTCCTTTTGCAGAACATCTTCATTGGGACTCGCTACACTTGGAGTGTTCAGTAGCTGTGTGTGAAGCGGCCCACATTTTTGATAGTGCAGGTTGGGGATAATGGGTGGCATTGCTAATAATAAGTGCTAATTACTGTATTCTCCAGGTTCTTTACTAAGGCAACATGATCATTTTCTGAAAGGGTTACTGTGAAGAGAATACACAGCACAGATGCTTAGCACTCACTGAGAAAGCAGTCAGAAAATGATTGGGGAGTATTAGTGATTCGTTAGTGGTAATACAATTTCTCACTGCTTGTGTTGCTTGGACGTTTTCATTTTTCTAATCCATTTTACACTTTCTGCTGGCATGTTCCTTTTAAATAGCCTGTAATCCTATGCCTCATCCTACCTCATTAAATATATTATTTCTCAATTTATTTGATAGGGGGTAATTCGAGTTTTACGGTGTTTCCTAGACAGTTTATACCAATAAGCAGGTGCTGTTTTATGGCCTTCCTGGGGAAGAATTCCATGCCTTTGTATCTGCAAACAATTGGTTTAATCCACGCAGGAGTTTAAATGAACGAATGTGAGCTCCGCAGATGATCGGTGTCGTCTCGTTCCCGGATGCGCTGTAAGTGCCTTAGACACTTCCTGGTGCATAGTTGATGCTCAATGCGTATTTGTGGAACTGAAAAGAATGAGCAGCCCTCTAGGTGTCAACAGAAAACTTATTCCCTGTACTCTGCTGCTCATGCTGGCAAGAAGCCTGCTGCCTGAATGTCTGGGGCACAACGTAAATTTGACATTGATAATTATGCGACATGAAATGGGAAATTTAGTCAAAAGGGTGCCATTTAAGGGTGTCTCCATATTAGTTTTCAAAACTTCAATGTTGAGATGATGTGTGTACTTTACAGCATGATGACTAATGATGATGGCAAAATCTTTGAACATTCAGTGTGTTTCTTTATAAATCTGTTCAAATGTTCCAGTTTAAGGGAAAGCAGAGGTTCAGGTCCCACTATGCTAAGCAAACCACAGTTTTGCATTCTCAATCTGTGGTTGCTTCAAGGAAGTACAATGCTTTCTTGATAATGAATTCAGGAAAAAATATTAAATATACAAAAATCCTCAATATGCCCAAGGCAACCAGTTTCGTGTCTTCTGCTTAGAGCCATGGTCCATCTGATTTTACTTCCATTAACAATAGATTCAGTGTTTCCACTAGTCCAGATTTCCGTCTAACACTGTAATTTCTTCAGAAGAAGAAGCTCTGTTGGGTAGCAATGATAAGCAAATCTTTAACAAAACAGTACTTTTTGATATACAGTCCACAGTGGGACACCTGCTTCTGTCGCAAAGTCAGGGGAATGAAATACACATACAGTAACAAGAGCTAAAAAGCAGCATAGAGGTGTAACACCCAGTGGGCAGAAACTGGCTTTTTGGGTCTCGGCCCAGACCTCCTACTTGCCCTGGGTTAATATGATGAGACTTCACTGGAATAGCATCACGTCTCACATACGGGGGTCACACCAGGGAAAGATCTGTGCTAATGACTTTACAATATGCTTGAAGTAACAGAAGCCTAAACATGTTGACCTTATACGCGAGCTTTGGTAGCTGTTAAAACCGGCTTCGAGCAGGAATGAAGAGAGGGATGAGTTTTAATTATTTTCTGAAGCAAAGGACAAATAATATTTCAAGAGATTTAACCCAAGAGCTTTCTAAAATCATGGACAACTTTGTTATTGCTTAGCAAATAGAAATAAATATATCAGAAATATCTTACATAGGATAATAAAAGCTAGCTGGTGTTCAGGATTATTTTCCCAGGTCCTATGTTATGGTCATGACTGGACACCATGGGAAAGATAAAGGCACAGAAGACACGTTCACTTGCTCCTTTCAGTGAATATTTACTGTGTACTTACTATAGAGCAGACACTAGTCCATTGTTGGGGGAAAATAACAGAGAACAAAGAGCCTGCCGTTCTGGTGCTTACTATCTGAGGTAAAAAATGTAAATATATAATATATCCAGTAGTGGTAAATGCTATGGCAATAAGGGACAATTTCTTTCTTTTCGTTTTTCTTTTTTAATGAGAGACACAGTTTTAGGTATGCTGATCAGTAAGAAGACCTATCAGAGACCGAATAGAGATCAAAGAAAGATGAATATGTCTAAAAAAAGAGGATTCCAGGGAGCAGACAGGGAATGTGCAAAGGCCCTGTGGCAGTGAAATGCTTAGTTTGTTTAAGAAAGAACAGAAAGACAGATGTGGTTGGAAGAGGATGCATGGAGACAAAAGTAGTAGAAAATGTTATAAATGACCAAAGTAGGTATTATTGCAAATGGCAGGAAAGTCTTCTGGTATTTCTGTGTGATTTCCTTTTAACTGGCTTCTTTCCACGAATCTCACATGAAAATATAAAGACATGCTTTTCTCTATACTAGTATTTAAAAATCTTTGCAGTTTACGTGAAGAGTAAATAAAGGCTTGAAGTCTCAGAACTCACATTTTGGAGAGTTAGCCAGGGGCCAGTCACGGAGAACTGTAAACACGTGTATAGACAGGATTTTATGATTCCTCTTTCAAAGTCCTGGTAAGAATTTATTATTGCTGAGTGGTCCATTCTGTTCTAGGAAGAACTTTTTGTTCTAAAAAAGAGTTTCCTGGAAGTTTTTCCAATTTACCTGATCTTTTGAGTTCCACCTATACTCCCACTAAAATAAAATTTGTAAATAGAGAGATTTCCAAAATGCTTGTAGTTCATCTTGCAATGTCAGGCTTCTGCACAGAGCCTTATTTATATTTCTACTGAGAAAAAAGAAAATATCATACAAACTTTAGCTATAACACTTGCAATTTAATAATTTCTTTTAGTTCATGTTGCAACATAGAAAGAAGGATGTCAGTTCTGAAAACTGCATGCACTTATTTTTTTTAAACTGTAAACTGTAGTTATTTTTAAAATGCTGATTAGGAAAAAGCATTTTAAAAATACTTTTTCATGAAAGATTTGTTGAGTGAAGCCAGCCAGTTGAACAGGAAATGGTAAGGAAATACCAGACTTTCAGCAAATTGCAACAATATCTACTTTGGTCATTTTAAAGTCTTGACTTCACCAAAGGAAACTTGGTTTAACAAGCTCACTCAGTAACAGGGGACAACAGTTTTTATTGATTCTCCTAGTAAACATTAGTAGACAAAAAATATGTTTTCTGGAGGTTTTTTCATACTAAAATGTGTAAGTCAATAATCTGTGGTAGGAGTGACACTGTAAACCAACCCCTTCAATTTGAATGTTTGAAAATATGATTTGATATATACTATATATTTGATAACTATTGGTTGACACTTTATGTGGCAAATCAAAAAGCCCTGAAAGTGAAAATGTAAAATCAGTAGTTCTATGATATTTAAAACTCAGTTCGATATCTTGGTTGAACTGTTATCTGCTCTGTCCACTCTGTTTTCCCCTGATTTCTGCATCACCCCTTATGAATATTAGTATCTTTCAATCTATGCTGCCCCAGAAAAGCAGTGCTGGCTGGCTTACCTTGGACCGTCTCCGTCGGAACTCCTCTCTCTGCATTCTGCACTGGTCGGCTTCTGCCACAGCTTCCTCCTTCACTGGCTTCAGTCGCTTCCAGTTCCCTGAAAATTAGCAGTGGCACAGAAGGAATGATTTATTTTAAGATACATGGAGTCTCAAATTTGATTGCTAACAAAAAACTGAGGTCTACATTATTTTCTTGATTCTTTTCCCTAGAATGGCAAACTTCATTAAAAAATGATATTGAAAACATCTAATTTTTTTCCATGGGGTCCTTTAGTAAAACATGGAAATGACAACTTCTATTCACACTTCCATGTTTATGTAAAATATCTGCCCACTGATTCACAGCAGTAACAGCCAGAGAACAGATTTTCGCTGTCATTTTCTTGAGAAGACATGATTTGGTCAGATTTTCTGTCCTGATTTGCTGCCAGGAATCCTCTGTCCACACCAACTGGATCCTATTTAACACTGGCAGGTCTCCAAAAGCAGTACAAGCCTACAACTCAGAGACTCTATCAAACTGACTTACAAATTTTTAAAGCATTTTTATTGGGAATTTTTTCTTAGCATTTTTGACTCTAGAATGTCTGATTAAGCTCATAGCACATCAAAGTAGACTTTTTTTGTAGTGGCTTTCTCTCAGGGGGACTTGAAAGTGGTTGTAAAACCAATTGTTTTTAATAGTTAAGAGATTTAGCTAAGAGCTCTCTTTTCTTTTATTAAGAGCAAAGGTGTAAGCCTTGAGCCAGCAGACAGTAATGTGGATGAAAGTCTCTAACACAGTGCTCTGGGGATCGTTAGCTAAGCACATGACTTTTGGGACAGCCAGAGTGAATTTGGGGGGTCATAGACCCATATTAATTCGCTGCTATGTCTGCACCACCCACCACCTTCAGGGGCTTAGGGACAAGCAGCTTGGTGATCATTAAAACTTTAAAGAAACTCTGAACTGTATTAAACTTCTTTTTTATCGGAATCTATTGTCTTTCAGTTTCAGTCAAATACCTTCATGTTTTTTTTTGCTGACTTGGCAGTTCCTTCTCGGTGATAACATCTCTTAAGCTTTTGAATTTGATTTTTGTCGACTGTTAGTTTGTGTCGACTTTGAACTAAATAGTGTGTGCTCACTAAGTAGCATAAAAGAAAATCAACATAGACATTTACTCTGATGTCCTCCGGATACATGTTTCTCTGTACTTCGGTGGCATTTGAGCAGAGATGATTTCTAAGTTTCCCTCCCTGTCAGGTTTGAGTTGCATCGCTTGTCAGTATTTGTCTGGAGTAAAGACAGATTCGCTGAGTTCCAAATTCAGTGTCTCTCAGTGCACTGCCTGCTGGAACCAGCCCCGAGTGGGATGGGGAGAACTTCACCCAGAACAGGTACTCACTTCTGTCTCTGCGCCCTTTAAGGTCCAAGGTCTGGTGGAAATCAGCGCTCGTCCCATGGCTGAGGCTTCGCGGGACATTCACAGCAACGCCTGCCTTTTTCCTACTTAATGAATGTCCTTACCATTTTGTATATTTTACTTTTCTTTATTCTCCGCTGTTGTAACCATTTTGCAGCAACCAAACAGAAACTATTTGCAGAGCAAACAGATGACGTGATGGTAGGAAAACCCATCCCTCCATCCCCAGCCCACTGTCTTATCCCTGCTTGTCATTAACATTCAGACAAAAATAGGTTTAAGATGTATTAACATTTTCTTAGTAATAATGGGTTGTAGGAGGCATAATCATTTTATAAAATGAACCACATAAAACATCATTGCTCTCCATCTTAATCACACAATATGTAAAAATATTAGTTTCAAAGTCACAACTTCAGCACATCAAAAAAATATATATATATAATAATAGGAAAAGCTCTGTATGCCTGACCCCGAAGCAGAATCCAGGGCTCCACTGAAGAGGCCTTGCATTAGCTCTGTCACAGTGACAGGCTCAGAGTGTGTCTGTGGTCCCCTGGCACCAGTCACCTGCTGGTTCTCATTCAATTAAGCAGGAGAGCCACTGGGAAAGAGCTGCTGGCACAGCAGTGTCCCGGCAGTCAGCAGCTGCCGCGCTGTGAGCTCCTGCACAGCCTCCACCTGACTTAGTCCAGGGGCAGGAAGTGGGGCCTGAAACCCACTGCGCCGCTGGAGGTGAAGGGATCGTGTGCGTCCCATCTGCCGATCCTAGGCCCCTGCTTGCTTCTCTGTCTGTGAATGAAGATACATTTTTAAGTGGTATCTCTTTCTTTTTAAGCATTAGAAACAGGGCTGCTGGGAACCAAAGGGTTTCATAGTTTTATTTCTCAATAATTTCTGTATCAAACTTAGGGGTGACTCTATGGTATAGTTCAGATCTTAAGTATGACAATCAAATGTTTGGCCCTGAATTTCCTACAAGGTCACACAGGTTTATCAGGCCAAATGTTCTGATTTCCAGTTTAGAAAATGTAGTTATCTTGTGCACCGTGATTTTAAAAACTGCCAGTGCAGGTGCCCCAGGGTGCAGGAAAGCATGATTCACTGGGCCACCCATTATTCACTCAATATTTACTGACGCCTGCTGGGTGTTATGCGTAAGGCTAGAAACGGAAGGCTACGGGCCTAAAGGCAGTATGTACCTTGCGAACGTGTCTGTGCTGCTCCAGCTTCCAAGTGGAAAACTATACATAAAATTGAGAATACAGGAAATCAACTCTGAAAACAATGAAACATAAATCCTGGTTCTGTCAGGGCTGCGGTAGTTGAAAAATCACGTTTGTGGAAAGTTCAACTACTTAAATCCCAGAGAATCTGTGCCTGCCCTGCCCCCACAGTCCTGTTTGGCCTCCTGATAATAGGGTGAGTTCAAAAGACCCGCAATGACACCCAGGTGTGGTGGGGGGGGCCAGAGAAGATGCCAGGGGAGGCGGGAGGAGCTTGGCAGGAGGAGACCACCCAGCTGACTGGGCTCCCGAGCCAGAGAGTGAAGGGCGTGTCCATTCTGGGGAGCAGAAAAGGACAAGACGCTCCTTTTTGAGCTATTTTTGGACACTTAACAGCTGATCCTGCTACGACCCTTCATTTTTGGACACGTGGCTTGTCCTTCCTTCAATATGCCACTATTGAGATTTATTTCATAGGATATTTTGTGGAAGGAAAAGGGGGAAGGAACATGTTTGGATTGATTTCCATCTGATTCATGGGGAAAGGATTAGAATATCAATTTGAGGCGGGTTAAAGCTGAGCTTCGCGTGGGGGGCAGAGGGCGGCGCTCGCCAGCCTCCTGACTGTGGGGCCCAGAGGCCATGGGGACGGGAGCACGTGCTCCCGGGACACAGCGAACTGTCTGTTGATGGGATTGTAAATTAGTCTGGGAATCTGTACCTGACGGGGAAGATGGCATTTGATTCACCAATTCAGCAAAGAATCTGAATCCCACACCAGACTCCACTACAGTAAGACAGGAGTCCTGTCACGGTGAGTAAGTTAGGGTGGCTGAGCCTGAGTTTCCTCGGCTGCACGAGAGAGTCAGGGATCTACTGAAAAGGGTCCTTAGCGGGCTTAGGAAGAAAATGTATATGAAATGCTTGATAAAAAACAGCTGTTAATTATTTTTATCATCATTGGGAAAACAGGCCCAATTCCTGGGGACCTTTTGCTGAGAAGGAAGACAGTGAATACAACACGAATTTGAGGACAAGCCCTCGGGCGTCCACTAGAAACACCTCTGCCGTCTTCCCTGAGGACGTCCCAGGGGCTGGTGAGGGCACAGCTGCACAGACAAGTTCGGAATCCTGAAGAAAGTGTGAAATGGTCTGTGTGTGCGCTCGCCACAGCAGTGGGTTTGGACTGAAGTTGGGGGAGTGCACGGAATGAGGAGAAAAGAGGGCTAAGGTCCCCATGTTGGGGCATGTCCACACTCAAGGGACGAGAAGAGGAAGAGGAGCCCGAGAGCAGTGGGGACTGAGAGACCGAGACACTCGGACAGGACGTGGCGGCAGAGGGGACATCGGACGGTCACTGAGCGCCCATCGTGTGCCCCCGCTGTCCTAGGTCTACAGACACAGCAGCGAAAAACATGACAGACACAGTTTCTGCCCTCGCTGAGCTTGCATTCTTAATGTCGTGGGGGGATAGAAATAGAAACCGGACAGTGAGCATGTAGTGTGGCGGGGGGGTGAGAGAAAAGGCATCTGAGGGACAGAGGCACGGTGGTGGACCCTGACTGAGGCCGGTCGGGCCTCTTGAATGCAGTGATACACGAGGAAAGGGAAAATACAGTGTCTGAAGGGGAGGAGGCTTCCAGGCAGAGGGAGCGGCAGATGCAAAGGCCCTGAGGTGATGAGAGGGCAGTGGACACGCTCAACAAACAGCCAAGTCACGGTCACAGAACAGAAACAGGAGGCTGGATGCCAGGGGGGGAAGCAGGGACGCGGGGAGGGGAGCGGGCCACACAGAGCTCCCTGAGATGCTACGGCCATGAAGGGTGTTTAGCAAAGGTGGGTGTAGCACTGGTTTTGACTTAAAAGCATTTCCTTGGTTGGTGTGGTGAGAAGGGGCAGAGGAGAAGCAGTAGTTCCGACAAATGGGAATGATTCCTGGAAACAGGAAGTGGCAGAGGGGTCGGCAAGAAGCTGTATGTACTTTGGAGGCAGAGTTGTGAATGCGCACGAGAGACAGAGTGGGGTCATTGGTGACCGGCATTTCATTTCTGAAGTGCACTCACGATCTGAGATGCCTGTTAACAAGCAGTGGTGATGGAGAGAAGGCAGATGTCTCTGTGAGTCTGGACATCAGGAAAGCAACTAGGGCTGGAAATCACGCATTTTGGGATCCCCGGCATGGAGCTTATGTTTAAAGTTTGGGATTATGGCTTCAAGTCACGCAGGAACTGTCTGCAGACACAGAAGAGAGCAGGTCCAAACCGGGGCCCCGGTTTTAGAGATCTGGAAGATGACAGAAAGCCGGCCATGGGACTGCTGTCCACAAGCCAGACGAAGGAAGTGTCTCACAGGCAAAGAGGGGTCTGGTTGTGATGGAGGTGTGTGGTCCGCCGATCACCATCAGCAGCATTGGAGGCTGGCAAGAAGAGCTTTGGGGGGGTCGCAGGGACAAAAGCTGGCTTAAAATAGGTTCAGGAGAAAATGCCATTAACAATGTAGACCAGGAACACAGGCTGCCTTTTTGAGATGTTTTCACTGACAAAGGGGAACAAAGAAGCCGAGGGCTTAGATGGGTCTGCCAGCCGGAGGGTCTGCGTGTTGAGCTGTGTTCTTCAAAAAGATGTGTTTAAATGCTGACCCTGGTACCTGTCCATGTGATG